TTCTTTTTTTTTTTCTTTCCCCAAGAACTTATTCGGGTTATTTCACAACTATAGGAAATTAACACAAACATTTTGATTGCATGTACTTATTTTCGTATAATATCTCTGACAATACACAAAAACGATCTCTTCAGTCCTTTCCAGTTGGTTTTACTTCAAACACAGCACTGAGGTTGTCTTAGATGACACACACCTTAACAGTGATTCAGCTGAAACTTTTGTGTTGGGTGTAGTTCACCATAAGATACTGGTTGACACTGTCAAAAGGTGGTGCGAACCATATAGTGCTAGATTGGTTCAGATCTCACTTGTAAATCTGGGACATCATTTGGCAACGATTGTATGTGAATAAAGATCACATGTGGGGTTCCTCGAGGTTCTCCTATTATCTTATGTAATCTGATGTCACAACTCATCATATTTATGTTTCTAACACAAAAGCCCTTTTTTTTCCCCATCACAGTACGTCCACAAACTGTTAGAGTTTCTTAGTCAGCGTCTATCCATTGTCTCCGTCTCATGAAATCAGGTTGAGGTGGTAACGGGTCCAAGGTGGAAACCAAACATCCCTTTCCCTAGTGACACTGCTGCTCGCTCTGGTGAATGCCAGGGCCTAAGTAGATATACACTGACTGGCCACTGCATTAGGTAGAGTACCGCTTGTTGAAACAAGCAGTCACCTGCCACCCAATTGTAGCATTTAGAAAACCACTTGCTGAAGCTCAAACTGAGCACCAGAATTGGGAAGACAGAGGATTTAAGTGGCTTTGATCATGGCAATGTTGTCGGTGCCAATATGCTAATCTGAGCATTTCAGAAAGTTGAGGTCAAAAATCATATTTTTGATTTAATGAGGATCATCCAAAAAAAAAAAAGGGAGAAAATATCTCCTTTGCATGATGTCTTTTTGATGTCGGAATGAAATGTGCAAACAGGTTCAAGATGACAAGGCAACATTTGCTCATATGACCAGTTTGATATCTAATATATCTGGAATACTCTCTAAATGCACAGCAAATCAGCTACAATGGCTCACAGTTATCAAAACTGGCCAATAAGAGATTGGAAAAATTTTTGCAAATGTGTTACAAATTTGACATGAACAACATAAAGTCATAGATCCATCCTGTCTTGTATCAACAATTCAGGCTTGTAGTATAATGGTGTGGAGGTTATATATCTTGATGCATGTTGGATCCTCTTTTACTCTTTATGTAATAAGAAATAATTTAATCTTATGACATTGCTGGAAATTTGCATGACATGTAGAAAAATGCTGGTCAGTTAACTTTGTTTTGGCTCAACCTGCCCCACCCCCCTCCAAAAACAGAAACCGCTGAGTTATTAGGCCTGACAGGATGTGCAAATACATTTTTTAGCTCAATTCTCTCACATATCCTCATACATACATCAAAGAGGCAATTGATAGACTCTGGAAATAGTGCGGAGGAATATTTTGTCCTATCTCCAAATCTTTTTCTTTTTTTTTTTTTTTTCCTCAAGAAGGCCTTGTTTGACCTACCTTCCTTTAACTCCCCTGTTTAAAATGAAAGAGTTGTCATGGTAACACTACTGGTGTCATTCCAGTGAGAAAAGTGGAGAGATGAGCCACAAGAGCTCTGGCTGGCCTTAGAGAGCTTCTGGTTTACTCCATACACAGCTTGTCACTTTAATAGACCTGCACAGACTGTGAGATGAGTGGAAAGATTATAACTTTACTGAACTGGGCAACTGTGAACTGGACTGCAGACCCTAAATATTTCAATTTGCAGACAGATCTCACATCTTTTCCTTTCATTACCCCTAAGCAGCTTCTGTGGCATGTGTTTCTGTTTTATATTTAGATCTAGATGTGTACTTGCAAGATCTATCACCTCTATTTACTCCACCATCCGCTGATTAAAGTACTTTGAAATCGGTGCTTAGCAGGAGTATTTATGCCTCTTGACCTTTTTTTGAATCATTTTTCATTCATTGCATTTTATGTATCAGAAGCAAAGTAACATTTGTTTCAACTTCTTTTGTAAATGAAACTCTGATAAGTGGCGGGCCAATATATCCTGTCCCTTTTAATGGAGACACCCTAAATAAAACAACTGTCACCGAAACAAGTAAAATCCACAAAAAGTTGAGACCCCTACTAATGAAAGACATTTCAATAGTTCTAACAAATATATCCTAATAGTCCTTGAAATGCACAGTTGAAACACAACAGCAGAAGATGACAGGATGTGCAAATACATTTTTACATCCCTAATTCCCTACAGAGTTGGGGATCACAACAGCCTACAAAGAGCTGAAATCGGCAAATCCTTTAAAAAGTTTATAAATGCATATTTTATAAGTTCTGACTAAGTATTGCATACCATTAGTGCTGAAGCTGGCATCCACAGTCTTCCTTATCACCGCTTTTAGGAGTTCACTCAATCAGCGCCAAGGAAAATGAATGGCACTCCTGGACTGGCTGCTTTTGCAAACGTCAACCATTAGTGTGTCAAGTAGCATTGTGCCTCGGCGTTTAATCTTCCCAAGATGCATTTTCTTCAGCATGTTTTAGATGTGCTGTATGAAAAAAAATCTTCAAATTGGTGAATCAGCAAATACTGAACCGCGACTACGAGGGGGTCCACTGCAATGTACAACTGTTGTGGAAAAGCAACATTGCTCATACCCCCAGACACACGATCCCTACGGTTAGATTTTCATAGCAAAACTGTGCTCTGGGGATGCTTCCTTCCATAGACGATTGTAAGAGAGATGAAGCTAAACAAAGGACACTGGTAGTCTTCAGGAATAAAGTCACCTACATCACTTCTCCTTTGGCACTCTTGAATGAAAACTAGGAGTCAGCTTAAGGGGTTTACATTTTTGTGTGTTGCCTCGGAACCTTTTTGCAAGTCCCATGCCAACAGCGTGTAAAGTTTGCTGAGGGCGTTTTATCTTGAGGATTCATTCACAGCTGAAGAGATGCCGCGAATGAGCAAATATGGGATACCCTCTGTTTTTTTTTTTTTTTTTTTTTTGCCTGGCCGGGAGAGATGCTGCAGAAGGCTCCGAGCCGATTACTTCTGAAGATTGTTGCCTTCTTTGAAGCCCTTTGCTTCTTTTATTAATAAATTGACTGCCAAGCTTGCGTATACACTGCTATTGCTGGAAAAATCCAGCCGCCCTTGGTGACGGGGCTATTTGTGAGTATGGGAATGAATAGTTTGTTCTTGAGTTTGGAGAATAAAACTTTCCATTTTCCTCTTTTATATGCTCGCTTGAACAGTTGTCTTTGTGCTACTTTCAAATTCTTTCTTAGCTTTTAATGCTGAAGAGCTGAGGCTAACTGAGGCTTATAAGCCCTCATTGGTCAAAGAACCTCTCTACTCTTCACTTCACTGAAAAACATTTCTGTGTTTATTTCGCAGCACTCACGTTTCTGTGATGCATTACAGAAAGGGAAGTGAAGTGGTTCTTGCATTGTATGGCCTTAGGAAAAGTGGAGGAAACAAACATAACGAGTTAATGCAGTTGGCTATTGTAAAGGTAGGACAATTTGTGTTTTATTAACATTATTCCATCAAGCAAGGAAATAGTTTCTACTAGTTATAAGATCTGGAATGCAGATCTGTTGTAGTTGCAGAAGAACCCGAAGTCTCCAGCAGAACTGAATGCCTTGTGAATGTTGGAGACCATTAAGCCGCCGGGTTACATCGCTTGCATGATAAATTCACTGTCCACCCCGACTTTCATCATGATATCCCTTCTCCAGATTTCCCCTAGGTATGGATTTGGTGAAGAACTAATTTCTTCAAAATGGCATAAGGTGCACTTGGCAATCGACTGACAACAACTTCGCTAGCCAATAGAGCAGAGACTACATTCGGATATTTATCAGGAACATCATAAAATGCACTAAGACCAGAACATAAAATCCCCTACCAGAATATTTGATCTGTCACAGTGTTGGTATTATAGGTTTTGGGCTTGCTGTTTGTTTGTTTGTTTGTCATTATTAATAAGTGCTTGCATGAAGACTAGCGGTAGTTGATTAGCTAATTTAATCACCTCCTCTACATTTTCAAGGTTTATGTAGGCAACTTTGTATACATAATAAAACTAGCTTCAGCATATTGCATCAAAGTCAGGAAAGTCTAAAGTTTTTGAAGTTCAAGATCTTGTGGTACGAAACGATGACTAACTGTAGTGTTTTTCTTTTTGCTCTTCATGCGAGTCTTAACTAACTTTTTTTTGTTTTTACAATATTGCTTCAGATGTTCCAGGTTACCTTAGACACTTTGAAGAGCTGCTGTTTAATTTTAATTAGCACCCACATCTTGTTCCTGAACAATGTCAGTAACTCTTATTTAACTTTTTGTTAAAACGAGTTTCCATTTACTTCCACATCTTTTCTTACTTATTAGCAAATATCATCACTTTGCCTGTTTTGTGTTCCTGCTTCTCTTTCGCTCTTGATTTTTTTTTTTTTTTTTCTCGGTGGCTGATTATCTTGATTCTCTGAATAAATCTCTTGAGTAATTACCCTTGAATGTAATTTTCCAACACAGTGTCTCATCAGAAAACACTCTGTGTTGTTACATTAATAATTAGAGGAGCGCTTATACTGTGAAGCAGTGACAAAACACGACAGACACCATCAGCTCATTTTCTATCGGCCAGCTGCAGATTGACTTTTCTTTCGATTGGCATCAAATTTGCAGCTCGGACGGCAAACTGCAGCGCTAAAAACAGAGCTGTTGGGAACTCACAGGCTTTACAATCAGTGAAGACAAAAGAGCGGAGGAGTGCAGGGCAGCAGGTTAATGAGATCACCCACTAGGTGAGGTCGCCCACCTCGTCAAACCGGGGAAGGCCGCGACTGCTTCAGGAGTCGGATCCAATCAGCGGAGCTTGTCGGAAGCCATCAGAATCAGAGCCACGGACGGAGTCATTCTTCCCTGGTTCTTTGATTTAAACCCGATTGTTTATTGAATCCACTTCCTTCTCGTTTCCAGGGCAGCTTTGTGGCCTGCATGACTGCCATCCTGAGACAGATGGATGACTATCATTACAGTCATCTGATCAACACTTTTGGCAAGATAAGAAGTGACGTGGTGGTGAGTACATCGTAATATGTCTGCCCTTTTCTATAAGATATTTCAGTCTGCATTTGGTCATGATAATAAAAAACCTTCATCTTCTTCTGTTGCTAAAAATCGGAAGGGTTGTTATTGTGGGTATTGCTCAATAGAATAGATTAATACATATGTAATTTGGTAATTGGATTCATAAATAAATATAGTTTTCATATTCAGAAAGAAAAAGTCATTTGTTGCAGTTAAACAAATGAACGTTGTCTTAGTCCTGGAAGAAAATTTGTTTTCCAGACGAAGAAGACGATAGGAAGCCTTACCCGACAATAGTTCACCTTACCTTCTTTTGCTGAAAAACCTTTAGTAGGATACTTTTTGTCGCCATGCACCAATGTCTCATCAGTCTGAGGAAAGTTCCCCAATCCGCTTTTAGACGCGAGATGTTTTAAGAGTTCCTTGCATGAGGTAAAGATGTCAGGTCTCATTTATAAAACACTGCATATGTTCTATACTAAAAGTGCAAATACGCCCATATGCTAAAAAAAAAAATCATGATTTATAGAACTGTTCTCACAGACACCAGAAAGGAATTTCTCCTTTATAGATCACAGCTGCACCGCCTTCTCTTCCGCCTTCTGTTCCCCACCTCACCATATGCGTTGCCAGTTTCCCCCACTGCCAATAAAATAGCGTTTGCGTGAGCAACTTCACGTTCTCTCGTCAAGTTTGTTTTTTCATAGACTACAGCCTTATAGGCTAGTTCCATTGGAGATTAAATGTTTTGACAAATGATGTCACATTTTCCTCAAGCACCCTCTGAAACATGGTCAAATGTATTCAGTGGATCTGCAGCAAAAAAACCCAACCATGAAACTTCCAGCTCCATGTTTCACCATCTGTATGAGGCTCTCTTTCCTCAATGCTCTGTTTGGTTTCTCCAAAGCACGTTCTTTCTCATTGTAGCGCCTTTGCAATTTAAATATCAGCAATCTGCTGTAGGTTCTGTGATAACAATTTAGCCTTTTTTAGAAATTTCTTTTAGCTTCTCAAGGTAAATCAGCCTGAACGGTTCGCTACTACTGTGTTTGTGCTTATTTTTGAGAGCTCTTTAAATTCTTTACCAAACTCACAAGTTGGTGTAACTTTGTGTCTGACGGGCTCTGAGAATTGTTTGTTTTGCTTTCACTTATTTTTACATTGTTTGGCAGCAGCGGGTTTTTTTTTTGTCATGATTTTGTGTCAGTGACTGTCTAGCCAGCAGTCTTCACCATGACCAGGTAAGCTACACTACGGTCATAACATGTAATTTCTGTATTAAAAGTCTCCTTATGATACTCAAATTTTCCAAGAAACTAGATTTTGTGTCTTCATTAACTGTAAACCTTAATCATAGTGACTTGCAGAATATAAATTATAAAAGATGCAACTCTATACTATATGTGTATCAATTTTTGAATTGAATTACTGGAGTAAATTGACTTTCTGAATTTTTCTTATTTGTTGAGAGGCATCTGTAAATTCTTGTCCTCCGTTTAGAGGTATGAAATTGAATTTCTTAAAGACCCTGCCTTCAGGGTCCTACATGAACAACAGAAACTGAGGAAAATGGATTACTTATTGCAGCCAGCATGTAGTGGGAGAGCAGGAATAAATCCCAATGATTTTGGTTTTCAGCCCTAAATAATCCTGCCCTCGGAGCGGCATTTCTCCAGTAGCTGTTGCCAGATTAGCATTCTATTGCTCCTTCCCGATAAATAACAAAATCAGTTTGTCAGGGAATTGGGGAGATTATGGAGCAAGGATCAGATATCAGATTAGCTTCCCAGGTACATCTGTTGAAAATACAAGGAGTCGTTTTGGGATTTACCTTACGTGACTGCAGTAGTTGTTGTCCTTATTTCATTAAACTCATATTTGCTAACATCCTGATTGGTATCATTATATTATAAACAACAAAGATATCATATGCTTTTCCAGACCTGTAAACAAACTATCAAACACATAAAATAGTGTTTTCTGATATGTTTGAGACAGATTTCTGTTAAGGGAACATATTAGACTCACACACATTTCAGTAACCGGAATGACTTTGTTGTTCTGCAGTTTTTCTTCATGTGCAAACTCACTTATTCACACAAATTCATTTAACTAGATAAGATAATTTAATGCCAGTAGCCTGCATATTTACGTTGCTAGTTTTTAGCTGTTAAGAAGAAATCTCCCTAAAACTGAGAGATTTTGTGACCAGTTTCTGATCACTGATTTTTGTAAAGCTATGACCCAATTTTAGCCAAACATAACTTCTCTTTCAGAGTAATTTATAACACAACAACTTAAACTTCTTTTTTTTTAAATTTTGTCATGTTACATCAACAGACTTAAAAAAGAAAATGCTTCAAAGCCTATCAAAGTGTGGAAAAGTTTAGTGACCTAAACAAAGAGATGCATAACTCTTTAGAATTTTGCAATATGCCTTCATAAAATAGAATGTTAATAAAGACCTCTTCACAGTGCTCTGATTTATGAGGTCAGACAAATAACTGTTCTCATTTTGACAACTTTCTCTCTCCCACAGGATTTCCTTATGGAAACATTTATCATGTTTAAAAATCTCATCGGGAAAAACGTCTACCCCTCGGACTGGATCATAATGAACATGATGCAAAACAAGTGAGTGAAATTTTGCTGAATTAACACGCCCTCCAAACGCAAACACGAAAAAGTAAAGCGGCATGAAAACGTCCATCTCTGTTGTTGCTAAGGAACGGCAGTGGGGAGCGAGTGAGAGTTTATTTATTTATTTATTTCCAAAAATGTTTTTCTCTCCATGCAAATATCGGCACAAGGCCTCAGCAGTGTAGCAATCAGATGAGCAGTCAGCGCAGCCTCAAACAAATGCATGAATTATAAATGCTTTGGAGTATGTTGTCTGCTAATCTCCAAATTTAGTCTCAGCATCTCTTTACTTTGCTGCTTGTTGTGCCACAGCAGCTTTCTGTTTTATTAATGTTGCCTTGCTTGAGTTTTTTTTGTTTGTTTGTTTTTTAAAATAAAGTAAAAAAAAAAAAAAAAAAAAGATTAAATACATCTTTTAGTTCAGGAGTTTAGTCAAGAACTTTTTGTTGTGCATATGTCACCTGAAAATATTTCCTTTTCATAAGTGACTTTTGCAGTAACAGAACCTGTTGTGATGCACTGTTGGGGGTTGACACATCAGAAATTGACTGTGAAAATCCGTAGTCGTCGTATTTCTCATCTACATGTATCCGAGTCAAAGTAGATTTCTTGTCGTCTCTGTGAAAATTCCAGATAGGATGAAGACATATCTGCCTTTTAAGATTTTTACTTTCCTTACTACTTCTTTTGTCTCATGAAAAGACTTGGAAAAACATCAGAAGACGTGCTGTGTTTTCTAATACTCCCTTAATTCTGCCTCCCTGCTGCTGTTCAAGTTGTCTATATATCGTTAAAAGACTTCAGCCGTTTGTCTCTCACGAGGTCTTTTTAACATGTTTGAGTGGAAGAGCACCGGCAGAGTTTATTCAGGATGGATGGCTGGACAGTAAGATGAATGTAGCTTGGATGGATGGATGGATGGAGGGATGGATGAATGCATAGACAAAAAAAAAAAATCCACCAAAGTGGGTAGAACCAATACACTTATCCTCTTCTCGCTATACAGTATTTGGCATCTTTTCAGACCCCTTCATTGTTTTTTTTTTTTGTTTGTTTTTTTTGAAAACGCAATTAGTGACAAATCTAGTGACTTTTTTGTAAATGAAGACCTTTATGGCAACATGTAAGCCCCTTCCATTTCTTAAAGACTTCAATCTATCTTGCACTGTCTTCCTGCAGCATACCACCAGCAGCAGTCAGAGCAGAGGAGAACTCATTCCACCCCGTATCCACACTGCTAATGAATCATTTTAGTGCAAAGCTAAGAAATTCTAAAGAGCCATCCTTGCAACATTCATCATTCCAAGCCCTGACTCTCCACCAGAGTGCGTGGACACAAACCAAGGTGTATTGTTGTAACCAACAGGGAAATCCAACCTCAGTAGCCTCCGCTCAGCCCAAGGAGGCCAGCACTGAGATGATTTTAGGAAAATTACACACTCAGAAGACAAAAACATAAAGACAACACCCTTAAAAATTCTTAAGGTTTCAAAAAAAGTTGATTTGGGGTTTAGTTACACTTCAAAGACCTCACATTTTCTTCATTAGAAGCTTGCAGTTATTGCACTACACAAAAGTTCTTGCAAAACTTTAATGTTTCCTCAAGCTGCTCGTTTCGAGCTCATGTTGTGCAAGAGGATACAATTTATTTATTTTTTTTAATCTTATTTCTTGAACTGACTGAAACAGACAGACATTCCCTTCGGCAATGAACAATGAATCATACTTGAAACACTTTTTCTCTGGAACCACCGAAGATTAAATGTTTTTTTTTTTTTTTTTTTTTTTTACCATGTTAGCAAATAGAACCAATTATGTACGAATGCTTAAGTTGAGTTCTGTTTTTGTAACATTTTTTTTGTTGTTGTTCTTGCTTGTGTGGAAAAACAAGGTGTCAAACATTGAATCTGACAGTACATGAACCTGTCTGTATAGGTTCATGTACTGCCAGTACCTTTTATCACAAGGTACTGGCCATGTGATAAAACTGCAAAGCCTGCTTATGAACCCTGCCCACATGCATCTGCAGGATATGGTAGAACGACTGCACCTCTGGCTGTTTAACAATCTGAGTGTCTCCTGGTAAACTGGGGTCAAACGTTTGTTTTAAACGGCACTTGCATTAGTCAGAATTTGTTTTTGCGGGTGTGGAAACCAGCTATTTGCAGCAGGTGCTGTGCTTATTATGCTGGCCTCTATTTGACTCTGAGCAGTTTTCAGCCTCTTCCTATTCCTGCCAGCAGCAGCATCTCCAGCTATGGCATTTGACTACAGATTGCATTGCTAGATTTAGATTATATCGCTTTTATTCATCCAGTTGATTGCTGCATGCCGTATTCCTTTCTAAGGCAGACAGTATTTGCTGCCTGTGTCACAAAGCAAGAAACATTGAAGTGTTTTGCTGCCAGTTCCCTTCCGGTGAGCGGAAAGTGACATCTGTTTTCGTGTTGGCGAACAAGGGAGGCCTTATTGACCTTTCCTTAACCTCACACTCAACATTTCAACATGACTCATTTTGCATTTAACATTAAAAAAAAAGCTCATTTAACAACTTATGAGCTGATGTAACCCTGTGATTCAGCCAGATTGATGATACCACTGAGGTGCCATCAGGTTTTTATTTTTAAGCTGCTGCTTTGTACCGCGGTGCATAAAGAGTTTTATTTTTGACGCCGACTTGAGACCAGTGTGTCATCCCCTTTGCCTCAGCAGACTCATTGTCAGCTAAACCTTTGTACGCTTGTGCATTTGTGACAGGCAGCCAAAAGATTAATTCAGCATTCGAGCTTGTGCGTTCTGTCACTTGCTTGAGGTAAATTGTTATTTATTTCAATGAAAAACAAGTCTGTCAAAGCCTGACTCATCTCACCTTCTTTATACTTGAGCTTGTTGAAATACTTCAAGTGCATGCTTCATGACAAATTAGCCAAACTCCTCCATTTGTTGCCATCTGCCTGAGAGTGTTTGATTGGATGTGTTCCTGCCTCCTCACAGAGCAAGGTGACACAAAGCTTCTTTCCATGACAGCGCAATTAATGTTTTGCAAAACCTTTTTTTTTTTTTTTTTCTTTTAATTGCCTTAAGCAAACACTGAAGTTGGACCCAGGTCACAGTAGCATATCAAGTCTTGATTAGAGCTGGGCATTGTTAGGAAACTCGCTGTTCAATTCGATTTTAATTCAGTATTGCTTTCAATTCTTCCGTATTGACTTAATATTAAGTTGTATGGAAATACATCATTGGATTACCTATAAATGACTTTATGTATTATTTTTTTTTCTAATATTTCCGGCCCATATAAACAGCCATGGTGGTATGCGTTACTTTAACAGTGTCTACATTCACATTTTTATCTCAAAATTAAAACGGTAGCACAATAACACTTGTTTTAAATGCAAATATTGTATTAAAATTGAAGTAAAGTGTATGCAAACATAAAAAAAAGTATCCTTGTAGAAACTGAGGTTACTGTTGCAACGTGCAGGAGAAGGACATGCAGTCACTGTTTTTAATGAAGATCTTTGAGCAAAGGCATCTAACACTAGTACACCAATATTCACTTTTCACATTTCAGCAGACAAATAATTGCTTTTTATTTCACTTAATAGGACTGTTATGGTATTTGACCTTGTTTTTAATTGTAACATCTACTGTGAAAAGAGCTTTATGACATGCTGGAATGCTCTTCAGGCTTCTTCATGGGTGTCTTGATTGTGATGAACTCATGTCACATTGAGCTCAGTGATTTGAAACCCCTACTGTCAGCAGATGGCTTCTGTTATGTCCCCACATTGTGGTAGCACCGCTAATGAGACGGGCTTAACCTCCTACTCTTTCTCCGGCCATCAGTTCCTACTTTCCTCCGGGTAGCAAACGGATTTATGGGCTCTAATTGCCCCGGTGACAGCAGCATCAGCGGGGTCAGCCACAGACTGTCGTTTACCACAGCGCCAACTGGCCACGACTTGAGAGTTATGATTAATTGGCAATGGAGAGCGTCTCACATGTGTTCTCTGAAGCGACATGAAACACGTTTGCTTGTTTTGATCATTTTATTGAATATCTCTGATGTGGTTACTTCTGATGAGTCAGTCAGATTTTGTGTTTTATGTCACTCCCTTTTTGACAAACACAGCAGTGGCAAATACAATACTTCATTAACTGATTATTTAAAAAAAAATTGTGATCCTTTTTGTATTCATGGTCAGACAAATAATCAGAGTGTAATTGGGGCCTGCATTGCAGTGCATAGGAGAGCATTGACACTTGTAAGACACCATGCCAGTGATGCCCCACATGCTACTGATAGCATTTAGGCTAACATTAGCATTCTGGCTAATTTTAGGTTATATACTAAGCAAAAATTAGTATATAAGCTAACATGGAGTAAGTCCATGTTTCTCAACATGCTTGTGACTCTCCACATGCTATTGAGGACATTGTAGCTTACCTTATGCTACAATGCTAATTTTAGCATCAGACTGCTGGGTTCCAACCGACGGGCACACTTTGGCAGTCCCCAGTTTAAATTTCTTCAGAAATGTTCTAGTTGGTGATATTTAATGTGCTCTCTCACTCTTGACTGCATTACACTTTAGCCTGTCACCAACGTCTAAAAGCTATTTAATTACTCAGGTAAATTACTGTTTCATAACATGACAAAATTAGTAAAATTTTAAAGTTCAGTTTTAACGTTATGAAAGTTATGTGGTCGAAGGAAATGTGCGAAGTAAGAAATGGGAACGAAGAAGCTTTTTAACTCTGATATTCATTCCATCATCCTCTTCCTCTGACTCATTAACTGATGTTTTATAAAACTGGGTGGCTGCCATTCAGACTTTCCTAAATAAGTAAAGACTCATGGAGGATCATGAGGGCTGTTCTGCAAGGCAAAAAAAAACAAAAAACGAACAGGTAGTCGGTTTGAATAAAGTTATTTAATTTGTAAAGCTGTATGTTCATAACCTAGCATATAAAAACTTTTAACAATGTCT